CGGACATTTTTTTTTTTAATTTTTTTAAAAAATTCACCTGAATGTTAAGGCGTAACTTAATATTCTCTAGTTAACCAATAAAAATCATTCCTGTCTGAGACGGATTGCAAATATTTTTGGGTCAAGGTCAATATGGCATTACCTAAATGCCTAATCCAACTTTGCATGCACAAACCACTCAATTATAATTGAAATTATTTCCTCTGTTCAAATTTGGTGAACCAAGGCTTGCTTATGAGATGATAAGGAACCATTTCAGATTTTAGAAATAGATACTCTAAATTCATTAATATATATTATTTAATTCACAATCATATCGACATTACTTACTTAATTTAGAAGTGTGCACGTCGCACACAAACAGCATGACCTCCCGGAGAGAATCCTTTTACCAAGTTGTAGCTGTGGGAATTCTCGCGTGAAAATTCTGTTACAAGTTTCGGTTTGCGGTTGTCACTTAATGGGATTTAAATCAAACAAGTTGTTTTGTAGGCAGTTTTATGCTGAAATTAAATAATTATCACGGTGGATGTCATTGTTTTCTGTTTATCGTTCATAACTCGAAAATAAGTAATGAGAAATATCGTTCCCTTTACGAAACCCGAAATAAAAAAGTACGTGTAATTTTTTCCGTCCCGTGAGGGCCAATTTCTTAATCCTCGGATAAACCTTTCGCTATAACCGAAGAATTGAACAAAGAGGTGGCTTATTTCGGTCTTTTCATTCATTTTACCATTAATCACGAAAATCGAATTATTGGCCAGTATTGAAATGAGCTTGTTTATTTAAAAATTATGCTTTAGTCATTATTGGGTGACTATTTGTTAGAATTTAATTCTAAAATGTTTTGATATTCCTCGCTACTCTGTGTTTACTTCTAGTGCTTTCAAAAGTTTACTATGGAAGAAACAAGAGTATCAATAGTATTGAAAGTTCTGGAATAATTGCTTGGGATAAATAGTCTGGGAGTTAACGACATATTTCATTGTACCATTTCCGCAAGCTTCATTCTTTTTGTATGTGTTATGCGTGTAGTATATGATAGTAATATGAACGTCTGCCGGCGCACCAACACGACAGGGGGTTACAATTACAGCAAAAAATGAACGGAAAAAACTTATAGCCGCATAAGCGAAACTTATTGTACGTATTAGTAGAAACATAAAAAGCTCAGAAAATGTGGTCTGCCACCTAAATTCCTCAACAAAAGTCCTCTGCCACCCACATAAGTAAGAAATTTAAAAAAAATTATACTCGCAAGGCTGAAATTATTTATTTTTACAGTGAGTTTGACAAGTGTCAAAAAGAGAAAATAAATATCCCAAGTGAAAATTTTCATTTCCATTTTGAGTGTATGTGATGAATCCTTCTATAATCTCTTTAAGAACTCTAGAACATTAGACTTGAGCTTTTCACAATTAATTTTGGTTAGCCTTACAAAAAAAATAAAAAATAAATAGGAATAAGAGAAAAATGCAGCTTCCTAGCGGTGGTGCTCGGGCACTGCATGCCGAACCCAACTTCAGGCTTGGCAGACGATCTTCGTTGTATCTTATTCGTGGCAGACTGTTATGTTTGTGTTTGTTTCCATAAAAAAAAGTATTTTAATTAATTTCAGCCTTGCGAGTATATTTTTTATAATTTTTTTTTTTTGCGCTTACTTATGTGGGTGGCAGACGACTTTTGTTGTGGAATTTAAGTGGCAGACCATATTTTCTGAGCTTTCTATGTTTCTACCAATACGTACAATAAGTTTCGCTTATGCGGTTTTAAGTTTTTTTCGTTCATTTTTTGCTGTAATTGTAACCCTCCTGTAACCCCCTGTCGTGTTGGTGCGCCGGCAGATGTTCATATTACTATCATATACTACACGCATAACACATACAAAAAGAATGAAGCTTGCGGAAATGGTACAATGAAATATATCGTTAACTCCCGGACTAAAACGAAACCCTTATAAAACTTCCAATTCAATTCATTCCAATGATTAGAGTAATGGATGGATTTTTTCTTTTATATCGTACCCTCCATTTCTTCTTTTCAATTGTATATTTTAAAAAATCTCTCTCTTTTTAGCTGTCTTCAAATATTTTTAAATGCAAATATAAATGGGAAATTTGAAATGCAAATACACTGAAAAACCATTAGATAATGGTTTTATTTCAAATGACACTGATATTTGCAGATATTCGTTGGAAATTTCTTTTCGTTAATTTTTGAGTTGACAGAACTTTACCAGACTAGTGAAGTTATTTATTTCTGTTTCAACAGCGGAATGAAAATTATCCGAGGAACCTTGTACGAGCTTGTACAGGTCCCTTGACAGAGTTCTTTGTAGTCTAGCACAATCTTGAGTAGTTTTTCGAAATTGTCATCAGGAAATTTGTTTTTGATTGGTGAATACAAAATTAAGAAAAATACAAGTTTGTAAGATAATTCTTAGGGAAGTTGAGTACACGGGAAGAATTAAACGAGAACCGATAGAGAAAACTGATTACTGTATATTGGTCTTGTATTAACAGAGAAAACGGAATGAAAGGACCTCGCACATTTCTTATGGAAAATGGCTTTCGGCTAAATTTTCTGAAAATTTGAGATAATGTAGTTCTCGATGTCCTGATTAAAAGTTCTCATGGGCACAACTCAATCCTATGATCAGTTTTTGAGTTACGGGTTGTCAAAATTGGCTTTTTTAGACTTTGAGATATTGATTTTTTTCAACATATTTGTTTATATTTCCTCGATAAGTACATTTAAATTGAAAGTTTTTACTCTAAGTTTTAGGCGTTTTGGTGTCTTTTTAAAATGTGGTATAAAAGTTCCTACAGCGTCTTACACAAAATGGTGGCGGCAAAAAAATGTCAATTTAGAAAAAGTCGCAAATAACTAAATTCGCGAGCTTCGCGTAGAGTGTCACTCATATTTAGTAGGTAGGGTGTGATTTGCGATACGAAGTTCGAGTTTTCGACAATAGCCCGAAAATCCCGATTGGCATCATCTGGGGAGCGCAACTCGCGACCGAAGGTTAAGTAGGCCGGGGTGAATCCGGTGGAAATACAGCGTGCGGTGTTCATTGTGAATCGAATAGCCGGCAATTTAGATGACCACATGGTATGATCTTCGTTTGTGAGGATGGCTAACAGAGTCTTTAAGTACAAGTTATTTCGTTCCACAGGGTTTGCAGCTGGGTGATAGACTGGTATCAAGTTCTGATGAAATCTTTTCTCATACCAGGCCAGAAATATCGGAATGCTATGCGCTGGTACGTTTTCTCACTTCCATAGTGGCCCGATCTTCGTCTTTGCCACCACTAGTTGAGGTATACAGAATTCCGTTATTTAGTATATATCCACGTTCTGCCCATTTCTTGAAGTGGATATCAAGGTCATTGGAGTCTTCCAAACTTTTAATTATTTTCGCCATTTCAGGATCTGCTAGTTGTTCTTCTCGGACGTCTGCAGCGCTGAGTGTAGGAAAGTCGATCGAAACTAGGTTTATTCTGATATTATCGTCGGTGTCGCCTCTTTCACATGGTGGTCTAGACAATGTGTCAGCTATGACATTCTTCTTACCAACGATGTACTCAATTTTGATGTCATAGGGCATGAGCTCTAGTGCCCAACGAGCAAGTCTGCCACTTGGTGACCTGAGTGTCATAAGCCATTCCAAGGCTTAATGATCGCTTTGCACAATAGTTTGGCATCCTTCTAGGTATCCTCTGAACTTCTTGAAGGCCCATACTACTGCAAGAGCTTCGCGCTCTGTGGTATTATAATTCTGTTCAGCAGGTGTCAGCAGTCTAGAGGCATATTCTACTGGGCGCTCGTCTGGTTCCTCCCCCTGGGGTAGACACGCTCTCAAAGCGTAGTCACTAGCATCCGTTTGTAGGATATATAGCAATCTACTGTCTGCTTGTCTCAGGATTGGGGCGGAACATAGAATCGTCTTAAGTTTACTGAAAGCTGCAGCTTGATCTGGACCCCAGGTTCGCTAGACGTTTTTCTTGGTCGGTGTCGTTAGTGGCTTAGCAACATCGACGAAGTTTTCAACAAAACGACGAAACCATGAGCAGGTTTGGATAAATCCTAACAGTTGCTTGACGTTTTTCGTTGGTAACATGTTCATGACTTTATCTTCACATGTACGTATTCCTTCCGTGGAGAGAATGTGTCCTAGATAATGGACGGCTTCACAGGCGAATGAACATTTAGGTCGATTAAGTGTTAACTTGTACTGCGCAAGTCGCAGGAATACTTTCCTTAGGTCAGTTAAATGGTCTTCGAAAGACGATGACATGATGATCAAGTCATCAAGGTATGCCAACATGGAGACGTCTTGTATTCCTGACCTAAACCTATCTATGAGGCGCTGAAAAGTACTAGGCGCGTTGCGGAGTCCAAATGGCATGCGCTTGTAACGGTAGGTACCGAAAGGGCAAACGAATGCAGTTTTGTTCCTATCTGAAGGCTTCATGCTGATTAGATGATATCCGCTCCTGAGGTCTAAGGTCGTGATGTAACCCCTTTGCTTAGCTGCGTGTAAAAGATCATCGATTCGCAGGATGGGGTATCTGTCTGGTCTGGTGATGGCATTTAAGGCTCGGTAGTCTATCGTGAGACGTACCTCGAGGTTCTTTTTGGGCACGAGGACGACGGGCGGTGCGTACGGTGACTCGCACTCTTCAATGTAGTCATTTTCTAGTAGCTTGTCGAGTTCTTTACGAAAAATCGATTTATTTGGGCTCTGACATCCTATACGGCCGTACTGCGATGGGTGTGTCATCCATAAGTACGATGCTATGCTCGGCAAACGGAGTAGGATCTTTTGAAGGAACTAAAATTTCAGAAAATTCACATAGAAGTGAGTTGAGTGTACATCGTTGTTCTTCGCTAAGCATCCGTGCCTTGTTGTCACAAAGTTCGAGTTTGTCATACTGGACAGTATTGATAACGCACGTGTTATCAACATTCGAATCGAAAAGGTAAGAATTTACAGGATCTTTACCATATACCGGTTTTGAGGCACGTTGAAAAGGAGGTTCGCTCTGATGAAATCAGTACCGAGAAGTGTGCGGATCTCGGTGCGGCTGTTGTCGTGTCGTATTCAGGTACAGAGATGAATTTTGTGGGAACCAATCTATTCTGTAGCAAGACATCACATCGAAATATGCGAGAGTCAACTATCCTCATAACACCGTCTGCTAAAGTCATTAATAAACGCTCGATGGTAAACGGAACGGAGTCATTTAACAATAGGCGAGATAATGTAGCACCGGCAACACTGCGTTTCGCACTCGTGTCAACGAATGCACACCCACGATGACCGTTGATCGCGAGGGGTACCAGTGGCCTTACTTCCAGAGTTTTATCGTCCACGGAATTGAATAAAAACTCGACATCTCGTCCCACGATAACCATATTGGCATAAGTTTGTTTCGGTTTGCAATTCGGACAGTAACTTTTTAAATATCCCTGCGCGCCACACCCGTAACACGTAACACTGGATGCCGAAAGTTCCGGTGGCTTTGCAAGATTCAAAGTTACCGAAGGTTTGACCGAAGGCGAATTTAGTTTATCAGCAGACTTATTTTTATTTATTCGCTTACCACAATCGTCAAATGTGTGTCCAGTGTATTTACAAAACGAACAGCGTTTTTTGACTGCACCGGAGTCGTTGTATGCTGTCGGTTCACTAGAAACATCAAAAGTCTCTTCTGCTAAGCGCGCATGCGTGGGTAATTCACTAAATGAAGCTACTTTATCGCGAGGAGCTTTCTCGCGAATTTGACCATGCAAAATTCCGTAAACCATATCAAGGTGGATCTCTTCCGCAAGCGTACCAGGAGGCAGCTGTGCTAAGATAGAACGCGCTTTACATACAAAAATGTCTGATTTGGTTCTCGAGTTCTGCTCACGGGCGAACAGTTCGCGATAATAGACCTAAAATTATTAATTGGATTTTTTTTTGCTGGTATAGGTAATAACGATTAATATACAGGGTGTCCCACGGTGGATGGCGTATTAGACGTCTATGGAGAACTAAAAAATGGATCATATTGAAAATTTGGCAACCGGGATAAACGACCATAATCTACACTTTAAAAATATTTTTGTTTATGCGGTGTTGCCGCTTCTACTCTTAATCAGTGGCAACATCGCTATTTTAAATGGAACACCCTGTATGTGATTGCATATTTCGATTCTACGTAAAATTCTGAACAGATTTCATGTGATATACCCTATACCTAAGTTCAACTATTTCGGAAATATTGACAGTTGAAAATTGAGTTTTTGCAACTTTGACAGGTTGTAAAACCTAAACGGTTAATTTTAGAGGAACACCGATTTAACATTCCTATCTTAGATTTTCATAAACTATCATGACACCAACTCTGAATTTAACCGGAGATTAAATTTAATTGGAATTTTTATTCATGGATAAATTCAAAGTTGGTGTCAAATTATAGTTGATAAAAATCTATGATAGGAATGAAAAATCGGTTTTCCTCTAAAATTAACCGTTCAGGTTTTACAGCCTGTCAAAGTTGCAAAAAGTCAATTTTGAACTGTCATTATTTCCAAAACAGTTGAACTTAGGTATAGGGTATATAACATGAAATCTGCTCAAAATTTTACGTAGAATCGAAATATGCAATCACATACAGGGTGTTCCATTTAAAATAGCGATGTTGCCACTAGTTTAGAGTAGAAGCGGCAACACCGCATAAACAAAAATATTTTTAAAGTGTAGATTATGGTCGTTTATCCTGGTTGCCAAATTTTCAAAATGATCCGCTTTTAAGTTCTCCATAAACGTCTAATACGCCATCCACCGTGGAACACCCTGTATGGGCAATAGTCTATCAACGCGCCAAAAAAATACCGGCAGCCGTATAGTATTTTTATTCTGACTTGAAACACTGCATTATACGAGGATGTTTCAACATGACGTCGCTCTTCTCCTATTAATTTCTTAGAAAATCTATTGTAAGTTTCCCTGTACAAAATATAAGCAGCGATGAAATATCGCTACAGTTTTGAAAATGGTGAATTCACAATTTAACGTTTTAATGAAAATACCTAAAAAAAAATTTTTTGAACGACTTTTTGGTCAAAATTTGGGCGTGGCACCCAAAAAATTCCGGCTCCGGCGGAAGAATTTACCGTTTAACTGAAAATACTTTTAAAAAATTTTTAGAAGTGTTTTTTGAACGACTTCTGGGTCAAAATTTGGGCGTGGCACTCGAAAAAATAAAATAAAATCGCCTCCGGCGGAGAACCTGTAACAGTGGCGTATCCAGAGGTGATTTTCGGGGGGGGACACTTAACCTGAGAATGTGGTCATTTAGTAGCCGCCGGAGGCTTCGCATCTTTTTAGTGCCCTTTAACTTTATTTAATATCAATATTTGGTTGTACAGGGTCATTCTTTATATTTTCCCACCCTTTTAACTTTTTTGTGCCACTGTGTATAGAAAAAATCTAAATAGGAAAAATGTTTAGGTTGAAAAATAGTTTCCAGAAAACAGTTTTGTTCATACAGGGTGTTGCAGAAAGTTTAAAAGACAATTTTCTTTATTTTTTTTTATGGGTATATTGTATTGAATATTCGGATTCTACGTAAAACTCTGAGCAGATTTCATGTGATATACACTATACCTAAGTTCAACTGTTTTGAAAATATTGACAGTTGAAATTTGACTTTTTTGCAACTGACAGGCTGTAAAACCTAAACGGTTAATTTTACAGCAAAACCGATTTTACATTCACATCTTAGATTTTCATAAACTATCATTTGACACCAGCTTTGAATTTAATCCATGATTGAAAATTTAGATTAAATTTAATTATATTCAATTCAATTCAATAATATACAGGGTGTCCCATTTGAAGAAAAAAAATGCTTTTTTAACTTTCTGCAACACCCTGTATGAACAACACTATGTTTTCTGAGAAATATTTTTTAAGCTATACACCTTTCCTATTTACATTTTTGCTATACACAGTGGCACAAAAAAGTTAAGGGGGGTGGGAAAATATAAAAAATTACAAAATACCTATGTACCTGCTTATTGCGAAGGAATATAGCATCACAGACTTATTCTAAAAAAAGAAACTCAATACATAGGTAAACATAGATATCAAAATATCAAAATTCAGAATTCTATACTGCATTAATCACAAAAATCAATAGCCGCCATCAGATTACAACCGAAAGGCAGTCAGAATCACCCAATCAGTTGAAATAATCTTAAAAGCCTGGGAGAAAATATTACTATTCAAAAGAATATATTTTTTATGCGTGCGGAGGACATTTTCTAGAGATTTTTTCATGACATGAAAAATTCTCGGGGGGGGGGCACTTGCCCCCAGTGCCCACCCTGGATCCGCCACTGACCTGTAATGGGCCCGCGGAGATTTTGGCACACAGGCCCGGAGCTGGGTTGATACGCCACTGGGTACCACGACGCAGCGAAACCATCCAAGAGCATTGGAAGACCTTTCAAAGCATTAACGTCCGAAATGTCTGTGCAACTTTCAAAAATCTCGATGGCATCTATAAAGGCTTTAACATCCGTGTCCGACGAACCGTCAAAACGCGAGTTACACTTCGCAAAATTACCACTGTGAGCTACAGCGGGAGGATTTTGAACATGTTGTGCATTACCAATGGCGAAACGATCCATAAGTTCGCGAAATTGCTCCTGTGTAAGGCTGACAGACGCCAGGAGCTTCAAACCAAACAAATCACCCACCTTGACACTTCTTATGGAATAAAAACTACCATAAACGGGGCACTACCCTTGACTCTACCTGTGTTTAATGCACAATAGTCAACTAATTGCGACGCCAGTCCGCTTTAAACGCTTAAAATCAATATTGTCGCTAATACTAGACGTAATACAGGTATTCTGGTTGATAACTCGAACACAAAACCGGCAAAATTGTTAGGAAATCAAACGATGTACAAAACAACTTGTATTCGTAACGACTTCGACAAAATTTCGGCGATAATTCACACAAAAAGTTCAGAAAACCGGTGATAACTCACGCAGTACCTGGTTCTTCACAATTCGGCTGTTTCTCGGTGATGACTCCCGTACCAAACGAAAGCGAAAAACACCATGGGTTTCGTCGAATAGCTCGAATAACTACACGAAAATCGCGATCGGCACACAATAATCACTCTCCCAGTCTTGAAACTCACCGTGGCCCCACGTTGGGCGCCAATTTGTGAGATAATTCTTAGGGAAGTTGGGTACATGAGAAAAATTAAATGAGAACCGATAGAGAAAACTGATTACTGTATATTGGTCTTGGGGGACCAGCCGATCAGTCCGATTAGGGAATCTTGTTACAAGTTCTGATACTTTGGATTTTGATGCATTCAAAACTTGGACTTCTGTGAAATCGCGCCTAGATTTCTGCCATTTATAAATGATCAGTTTCAACTGCTTTATATAGCAGAATAAAATAAATACCTGAACCATTTATCAAATATTGCCCCAAATAAAGCTTAATAAACAATTAAAACTAGTATCGCTAATAGCTATTGTCAAATTTAATATTCATTAGGTGGAAATTATAATTAAAATAGGGTTGATTGAACGAATACAATATTTGATGAGCCATATATTACCATATCAATGTTCAGCAAACTGAAACAGCAGCAGACCCGATTAGTTTTTATTCAAAAAATGGCCTTCTAATTAAACACCTTATTGTGTAGTACAATCTTGCCCTGGAATCCTCTTATATTTGATTCAGGCAAATTCTAGTTACAAAACCAAAACCCCAATCCGATTACAACTAATTTATTTCGTATTTGCGACTAGGCGAATGGGTTTTAAGTACCCACAGAATAGTAATGACTTGTTTGGTTTGAAACGAAGAAATACAAAGATTACAGGCCAGAGTGGAGAAACCATCAAATTATTATAATTTCAAGAAAAACGTTTTGACAACATTCAAGATTTTCATTAAATTCGAAATAAATAGACTACTTGAGCGTGGTCTTCAATGTACTATATTTAAATACTCCATTCCCTTGTCAGTGTGTAAATATCACGATTTCCATTATCTATTGATGAAATATGTCCAATTGTCTCATAAAAATATTTATTTTATAAACACACATGACACATTCACATTTTGTAAATTGTGTGTTCGGATCGTTAAAAGTTTTTGTTCTCCATCATAAATTATTGGCAATTAAATTTCCCATGGTGCATTTTGTTAAATTGAACCGAAATAAAATTAAATTTTGATTACTATTTTGATTGCTTCTGTGAATTTATTTTACGGTAGGATAGCTGATATATTATAGGAAACCGCAGTCATAATGTCCTGTTTTAAAACTTTCAATTTGAAATTTCAAATTGGGATTACTTCAGAAAAACACGCACTTTACTAGATTAGTCAAATCCAGCAAGATTTCATTAGGATTCCGACATGGCCGAGCGGAAATTAATATTAAAATTACCTACTCAAATAGGATTAATTAATTGCTAAACTAATTTCAGAGTGTGAGTGCGGTCCATAGAGGATTAAGTTAGTGGAGGACTTTTTGAGGGCTTCAATTCGTGAGCGAGTTTTAATTGGAAAGGTAAATTTTTCTCGTGTATATGGAAAGACATGCTTTGAATATTATTTAGGATTCAGACAGCTTCACAAAAGTTATAGATATTATGTCGCTGGCAGTGTATTTTCGTTATTTGGATGATTCGCCTTTACGATCGAGTCTAGGAAATATTTCACTTCCGACTTTCCAGATAAATCCCATTTAGAAATTTCGGGAAATAAATTTTCATGT